GTTCCAGTATTATACGCAGTTATATACGCGATGCTTTTGCAATTATACGCAGTGGTTCGAGCACTATATGCGGTGCTTTTAATATTATACGCGATGCTAGCTTTCATTCAACATTATTTCCATATTCTTTCCATGACATGTATATGATTTAACGATTGCTTAAATTTGGTATGTGCATGGTTGACAAATGCTTTTTGCCTATGGTCTGCAAGGACAATGACATGCTTTTCTGTGTATATACATGTAAATGAATATAACGCAGCGAATGCGCCAAACAGTATAAACGCGGCTGAAATACGATATTAAAATCTTAAATGTGCCGTATGATTTAATTATGTTTTAGGATTTACAAATGCTTTGTCATTTGTATTTATACTTGTACTGCATCACAAGGCAGTACGTACTGCAAGTGAAAAAACTCCACATGTGAGATTGTCTTGTATATATTTTTGCTTTCTTTGATAAACACTATTAAACACGCAAATTTTAATTAGTGAGACGCAATGTTAAATGTCACCTGCATGTCATAGTCATTGCCCTTTAACCTCTGGTCTAATTGGCCGCTTTTGAAAATATTGATCATGACGAACCGCACTGCCTTAATTAAATGCAAACTTTGTGTTTTAAAAACGGGTTAGGATAAAACGCGGATACGGACGGACGGATGAATGACGGACGGACCAGACGGATGACATATATATGTCGTTATATAGTCTGCGCGCAGCCGCGCAGGGTAGTTAGTGCCTTACGTCTTCGCTGGTTGTTATACTTTAAAATAATTTTGTATGTACCGAGAAATCAATATTCCGAGTATATAAATATATAAACTGGGATGTCACACTGATAGCTTGTTTACATTTCCTGGAACATCATGAAATCTTATGTTAAACCACGGTGGTTTAACCCATTAGCTGGCAATGCGCCCTTCCCTTGTCGAGCGCCAGAAGATTTTACTCGTCAGTGGTATAGGGTACTGCCAGTAAATGGGTTAACAAACCTATCTGCCAATGGCTCTTGTTAATTCATCAGCACAGTAATGACCCCTACTTTAGTATTTACCCTGTCCAACGCCAGACGATTTTTAATACTCAGTTAGTGGTAGGGTACTGTCAATAAATGGGTTAACAAGGATAACAATAATTAGCCTGCATGGCAGGCGGTATTTCCCAGGCTTGCCCAATTTTAGGAACCGCCTGCCATGCAGGCTAAACAATAATAGGATGTTTCTGAAGGACTCGTTCAACACCCTGTAGTTTGTCTTTTGCTGTCAAAGGCAGCATTACTGCCCTGTGGGTAACCTAGTCTTAGTTATAGTGACTATATTGAATTGGGTACAAATTCCGATGACTGGTTCTGTAGCTTTTGTATAGCAGATGCAATCCCTTTCAGTTTTCTTTCTGATGACGATTTCCTGTTAGTACTCCGGGAACATGATTCCGGACTTGGTCTTAACATAGACTCATTTAATGATTTATTATTCAATCCATTTTCTTTGAGTTCTCCCATATCGAATTTAAATGATCTCGATCCAGACCAGCAATTTTTCGGCAGTTGCATACCTAATAATACCAAGTACCTACTTGAAGATGAATTTATAAGTCTGTATTCTGATAAACATGACTCTTTCTCCCTCAACCATTTCAATGTTCGTAGTCTCCGACATAATTTCGATAAATTTACTGATTACCTACACCTTTTAAGTTATCCTTTTTCTGTAATTGGATTAACGGAAACTTGGCTATCTGATACTGAAGTTGACCAATGTAAACTCGTGGATTATAATATTATTACGTGTAATCGTGTAAATCGCCAAGGAGGTGGAATTGCCCTTTATATCAGAGATAATTTGAACTTTAAAATAATTGATACTCTGGGAATTAACGATGATAATATCTGTCAATCTCTTTTTGTTGAAATAAACCTAAATAACTCTAAATAATGTAATTGTTGGCGTTATTTACAGACCACCTCATGCTAATATTGAACTATTCAATAATTATATTGACACAACCCTCGCCACACTTAATCGATCCAATAAACCACTTTACATAATGGGTGACTTTAATATCAATTTACTAAAACTTGACTCTAGTGATGTCTCAAAAGATTTCTTTGAGACCATGATTTCCTATTCTCTATGCCCTACGATTTTTAAACCTACTAGAATATCTTGTCATACAGCCTCACTTATTGATAATTGCTTTACTAACAGTTTTGAGGATACCTCTAGTTCTGGTATTCTAGTCACAGACATTTCTGATCATCTCCTTATATTTCTCATTTCGGATATTAATTTAAAACACTCTGTAAATTCCCGTGATAACCATACTAATATTTTAAAGAGGGAAATTAATCAAGATAGAATTGATAGTTTTAAAATGGATCTTCTTATAACGGACTGGCAATCTGTTTACGACTCATCTGATCCTTGCATTTCTTATGATATATTTTTGGATAAATTCAAATCTTTATATGATCAAAATTTTCCAACTAGAAAGATCAATCATAAAAAATTACCCCGTAAACCTTGGATTTCAAAAGGGTTATTGAAATCAATAAAAAGGAAGAACAAATTATATAATATATTCATACATAAGAAAACTAATTCTAGTAAGCAAAAATTTAAATCCTACCGAAACAAGTTAAATCATCTCTTAAAGATTGCAAAAAGGCACCACTATTGTTGTAAATTTGACCTAGCTAGAAATGACCTCAAGCAAACCTGGACGATTCTTAAATCTCTCATAAATAGAACAAAGACCATGTCCAAATTCCCTGACATATTTAAAAATAATGAAACTGTGATTTCTGACCCTCAACTTATAGCCGATTCTTTCAACAGTTATTTTACCAATATTGGCGCTAACTTAGCTGATCAAATCATACGGACTCCTGCTACCTATCACCATTATCTTAAGGGCTCATACCCAGAATCATTTGTATTCTTCCCCACAAATGAACTAGAAATTTCTGATTATATTTCAATTCTAAATTCAAATAAGTCGTCTGGGATAGATTCTATAGCTCCTTTCATTATCAAACAAATATCAACATCCATAGTCCCTTTATTAACTTATATATTCAATAAATCAATGGAATCAGGCAAAGTCCCTGATCAACTTAAATCTGCATTAGTCACTCCAGTTTACAAAGCTGATGATCGTACATCATTCTCTAATTAAAGACCTATATCAATTCTTCCAATTTTCTCCAAATTATTAGAAAAGGTCGTATATACTAGATTATTAAATTATCTTGATAAACTTTGCATCTTATCCGCCAATAAATATGGCTTCAGGAAAAAACGTTCGACTTACATGGCATTGATTGATTTAATAGATAATGTGTCCCAGGCGATCGATGACAAAAAAATTGGTTTGGGTGTGTTTGTAGATCTATCCAAAGCATTTGATACAGTTGACCATGATATCCTTATTAATAAACTCAGTCATTATGGGATGAGAGGAGTCCAATTGTCTTAGTTTAAGGACTATCTAAAAAATAGGACTCAAAGAGTAAAATTCAAAGATTGCATTTCGTCCCCCAGAACTATCAATTGTGGTGTCCCCCAAGGTTGTATATTAGGCCCCTTATTATTCCTTATATATATTAATGATATATCAAACTGTACTAATATTATAAATCTTAACCTCTTTGCGGATGATACAAGTTTATTTTCTTCTGACAAGGATTTAAAGTCTCTGGTGGAGAAGAATAACCAGGAGCTTTCAAAACTCTCAACGTGGTTCAAAACGAACAAATTATCTTTGAACGTAAAGAAAACTAAATGCATTATTTTTTGTGCCAGAAACAAGCCCCTAAACCAATATAGTAATAATCTAAATATAATTATCGACGGTCAGGAAATTGAGCAAGTTGCATCAATAAATTTTCTCGGAGTTCAAATAGACGAACATTTAGACTGGAAGGTTCATATTGACAAGGTTTCTATGAAAATGGCCAAATCTTTTGGTTTAATTAACAAAATTAAATCGTATGTCTCTGTTTCGACCAGAAGAACCCTTTACTGTTCACTTGTTCTTCCTTATATTCAATACTGTAATATTGTATGGGCCAACTGTTATCACACTTACCTCGACAGGATCCTCAAATTACAAAAGCGAGCTGTTCGAATTATTGCTGGGGCTGGCTTCAGGGATCATACTAAACCACTATTTTCTTTGTTTAAATTATTAAATGTATATACCAACTTAACCAATATCAAATTGGATGTTTCATGTTCAAATGCCTTAATCCTTTTCCTTACCATCTCAGTTTCTCCAATATTTTTCTTATAATAAAGATGTTCATCAGTATAATACTCGAAACGCTGCTAAGATTCATATAAAGAAGGTGCGAACTACTACTAGAAAGCTAACTCTTAAGCATAGTGGCTCAATTCTCTGGAATTCCCTCAATAATTCTATTACTCAGTCTGATTCACTCAGTTCCTTTCAAATCAAACTCAGAAATTTCCTCATGGAGGCAAATAGCTACAGGTTAATTTAACTGAGTTATATATTGTAATATTCTAAATTTGTTTCTTAATCTCATCTTTTGCTCTGTTCATCTATCTCGTAACCATGCCAAAACCGTGATCTCTAACTATTTATAACATATATATGCCACCACGGTGTTTAGCGTTTTACAAGCACTTTGGGTTTTTTTTGCTGAGCACCATCCAAATATATGTATATACTTTTGTAAATAATTATATATTTGGTAAATAAACTATTATGTTATTATGTTATAAAATTCCCACCCGAAATGTTCATCTACAAAAACCTTCAACAATTAGTTATATCGAGTATAGATGCACAAAATTCCGAAGTATGAAAGATAGGCGTTTGTTAGAAGATGCCTAGAAGATGTTTATTAGAAAATGCATGCAGGTTAAAAGCTGAGTAAGGCACACTGCGGTAGGAAGGAGCAAGGCGCCGAATCGAATGTACATCAACAGGGACGTAGCGAACCATCTGAAGTTGGGGGGGGGTTGTCGAAAAAGATTACCTGAAGTGTATTAATTATGATAGAGAATATTTTCGATTGATTTGAACTACTTTTGAACGAATTGATTGTAACGACTTTTTTACGCAAATTTTACCCGAAAATCTCAAAATTTTACCTGATTTTTACCTGAGTTTCACAGTTAGGGGGTTACCTCCCGGTCGCTACGTTCGTGTACACCAACTACAGTATATTGCATATCACATATGGCGAAGATGAGCAGTCAGCAGTGTTTCCGCTGTGAAGAAAATTTCCTTTTCGACGACTAGAGAAAGGGACTAATATTAAAAGGGTGTTTATTAGGAGATTGTCTATTTGGCGTGGGTGGGTCGTGCGTCGTGGGTCGTGCGTCGTGGATCGTGCGTCAGTAATTCGCAAAAAAAAATTTAAAACTATACCATGAACTGCCAAAACTTTGCACGAATCTTTTTAGCTATGCCACATCTCTATTAACGTTACAGAACACCTTTGAGTGTTAAGAGGCAGTCCGTGTAAAAACCGACCACTCGAAATTCTTAAGATTACAGATTTCCTTCAAACTTTCTGTGTGGAAGAAGTCATTCATAAAATGAACAAAAAACGTTGACTTTGAAATTGTAGTCAGTTTTAAAATTTTTTTCGCAATTATTTTCGGACGCGTTCGAAAACAAGTTAAAACGTTAATTACGCAAGTGATATGTGAGCTTTTTTATATCTCACAGTTCATCTCGCGCTTTTATTCTAACTTCTTGAAACTTACATATTTTATTATTTCCTGCCTAAGCATAAACCTAAACTAAAAATTATGCGGATCACTTGAAGCAAACAAAATATTGTGTATTTTTAAAAACGTCTTTCAGACAGCGGATTAAATATTCGTCTTAGTATGGTGGCGGTAAATTATTTTTTCTCAAAAGTGCAACGGTATCAGGTATCCAATCTATTGCAGCTACTGAGTATTATGACACATCTACTAGAATAAATAATAAAATCTTTGGGCAGTGTGTTTTTCACTTGACAAGCGCGTCATGAATATAGTCAATTTTCGCTAATTCGACTAATTATAATGCATTTACTTAAATTTTTCGCGTTAAAAACATACAAAATTGTTCACTATCTTTCAAATATGGCTGTTTTTTGGATAGAGAGTAAGTTATAAATATGCCAGCAATTATATTATGCTTGAAATTTTACGTTTATGGGTATCATTAAATACTACATGCATGGTATATATAAACAAAAATGTATAAGAAAAGTGCGGGAAAGGATATATGTGTGCCAATTTATACGAATGCCTTGAAGGAGCACTTTTTTCTCATCATATATAGACATAGTGCAGATTTATTTTGCTACTCTAAAATGAAACAAATATTTTATACATGTTTAATATTTTCATGTTTTTTAAGAACTGCATTTACATGCTGATCTCGGTTAAGGTCCCGTCACACTATTGCGTATGAGAGAAACGTATGAGTAGCGTAAACCATGCATGTGCATGCATACGTCCGCATACTCGAAAAATTTCTAACCATGCTTACCTTGCATGGTTCCGCGATTTTTAAATAGACACCTTACGATTTAGGACGGCAACGGCTACAAATACAATAAATAATTAAAAAGAATTCAATAATTGCAATATATGAATAATTTAGACATTGTCCTCGCTTTGTTTACAACGCCAAATCACAGATTTTCACGTCTTGACACAACGGCTTCATTTCAAGCCGCAACAAGTGCAACTTCAAACTGGCTTCAGCAGAACTCTTCCCAAACATAAAACCCATTAAATTCATACGATTGTATTAAATTCATACGATTGCTAATATACCACGAATTGTCTTTAGGCCACTATTTGCTGTATATTAGTTTCTCGCCCGCATACTTTTTTAAGAAAATCGCCTTGTTCGCCATTATTATTGCCATTTTTGACCATTATTATAAATTTTGTGATGTCTTTGAAAGAAAGACAATTAGAAACGTTCCCAAACCAAATGTTAGTTAAAATACAAAATTTCATAACCAAACTGCAAGATTTTCCCGCATTACGTACACACTTATTAAATATCCAAACTCAGCTATAAAAGTTCTACCGGATGCCAGGGGCAGGGGAGAAATACGCCAGACGTTCTGAGTACAAAATTATGAAAACATGCTTTCAGTTGCACTTACTGATTTTGTGCTGTTTTTCAGAAAGTTGCTATATAAATGCTTAATGCGCACTTTTCAAAAATAAATTTTATGGGGAGGGGAAATCCAGCAAATAACTGTATAATGGTATTGGCCCGCCAGCCTTACGACATGCAGTCTTGGTTCATTTATTTGTTTGAGAATAAGTTTCACTTTCACTTAATATATGCGCTTACTACATGTTTCGTCGGTTTTAATATAGTCTAATAGCTCAAAGCAACAAGAAAGAAATTCGTTTTTTACATCAAAACGTTCTTGTATACCCAACCATGCATGTATTAAAGTTGATTGTTCATAGATTCTAATTTCGTACCTTGTCTCTCTATGCACATGAGAGCAATATAAATGTATAGTAGTACACTCATAGGCGTACGGGATTCATATATCTATTGGAGAAGCTGTGGTCTATATTGCCCGAAAATATTTGGGCCCCTTTCTTGACTTTTCTTTGGGAGATGTTACCCCCCCCCCCCGACTTCAACGAGTTAAGATTGTAATGATTTTACGATATAAATATACTGTTAAGAAAGCGAAGAAAAACTTGAAATTACGCGTTGACCGACTTCAAGCGATGACGGGGATTATATATGAACCGCTTTTCACGCGAAAAACATTACTTGTTGTGTCCCAGGGAGGGAACAAAGTGTCAACCACGGAAACACGAAATTATAAAAATAGGTACGCAATGCGTACATGTGGCTAGCCTGGTAAACTTTAACTCCCCAAACCCTCCTCCAAACCCAGAAAGCCTGCCATGCTGGTTAACTTTAATAGTAATAAGAAGACACCACGATGGTCAGAATGCGCAAATTTTCTCCCACTTGTGCGGGCTCATTTTGTCAGTGGAGTTTCCCGGTATACTTGAAAAATACCGTGTCATATCTCGTCGCTTCCCATGTAAATAGCGAATTCAAACACTTGAATATAAAACACAAATATGTGAATTTGCACGCTAGGCTTTTGAATATAACGATTGTAAAAGTTTCCGTGTGATCTATTAGCAATTTAAAAGATACCTAAACTGTAATATTGCCATATATTTAATCTCGCGTTTGTTATTTGCGCAGCAGCAGTTTTGCCGTGGAATTAAAATTGCGTGTCATATATTTTTGGTAGGCAAATAGCGTTTGAGATATAGCAACATTAGCAAACAAATACACCGAAATCTTGGTTAGCACGCCAACTTTTACCACTTTTAATGCAATATTACTAAACTGTAATGCTGTCATATATATTTAATCTCGCGTTTGTTATTTGCGCAACAGCAGTTTTGCCGTGGAATTAAAATTGCGTGTCATATGATATTTTAATAGGCAAATAGCGTTTGCGATATAGGCCTAGCAATATTAGCAAACAAATACACTGAAATCTTGGTTAGCACACTAACTTTTACCACTTTTATGCAATATTAGTCAACTTATAAGAGAACGTGAGACAAATCATGCTGAATTATTCGACTATATGACTCCTAAGACAGACAGACGCAATAATCCTTTATAGGTTTATTACAAATATGTAGACATTTGAGACGCCGTCAATGTCTGAAGAAAAGGTATACTTAAAGCCTTTAAATAAACGAGTTCGATGCACAGTTTCTGGTCTTTTACCATAATTATCCAATGCTGGTTTTATTTGCTGCATTATAAACCTCCTCCACACAATACCCCTTCTTTAAAATACCAAACATTTTGAATGCAATTGAGATATGAAATCTCAACAAGAAGACAATTCAAGATGGCAAATCAGTCAAAAGTGCAAATCAAAACCCATATTTACACGGCGAGTACGCGCAATTTCTGATCGGTTTCGACACCATAGGTTGAAGCCATGAAGATAAACTTTATTTTAATTTTCTGGTTTAACAACCTCACTAGTACTGCGTCGTAACAACATCACTAGTATTGCCTCGAAATGCAAATGTGAAATGTCGGCAGAAAAATACGGGCGCTTCCGATTGCTCCCGATACTTTACGAAAATCCGGACTGGACACCATCATCATCGCTCATCGCGTTTGTGTATGTGATAGTGGCTAGCCCGCAAACGGGCTAGCCACAAAAAGGCTTTTATTCGTACAACCACGGTGAAAACTATACAAATAAACGGAAACAAATATCGTACACAAATTACAAATATTTAAACAAATAAATGGACAACTGACGAACAAATACAACAGAATACATACATCTAAGGCTTTACTCCACTCCAAATGACTTGTTTACTCCAGTTCTAAGTTTACTCCAGCTCTAAGTTCAAAAATTACTAAGTTTACTCCAGCTCTAAGTTCAAATATGGCCGCCAAAACAAATGTGTCCGCGTTTTATATGCCCACATGGAGGCCTGGGCCGAGTTCAATATAAAGTTCTTACATCAAGTACATCACACAATCATCATTTGATAATTATATCTTATTGGCAATATCATAGGTTACAGGTTACAAAATCCCTCAGTTTAGATATAATAGCCGTAGGCGATTGCTTGCCTTCTTATAAGCATTTCGTTTTTCTACACAATTGGAAATTCAAAAATGTTGATTGTATTCAGCTGATTAGGACAAAAGGCCGTATTCTGTGACCGGTTTTTGTTTACTTTCGCTGCCGTCGGTCGGACACTAAGTTTAATTTGCGAAAATTTATAGATTTTTACACACTGAGTAAGAATTCACTTGTTGTCACGCGTACAAACCTGCAGTTTTTTTGTATTTTACGATCAAAGATCAACATTTTTTATTAAAATTTCCATCATTTTGTTGAGAAATTAAACGTCATGTTATATACAGTTATTGTACTAGCTCAAGTCTCTTAGCAGGGGATTGCACATAATGATGAGCCAAAAAAAACAAAAGTTGATGCAATATAAAGAATAATAATAGATTAATTCCTGAATATTTAGTACCGAAAATATCTATATTTTCATTTGTTTCTGTATATTATATATTATCGCAATTTTGCAGCTATGCCTTTCAAACATCATGGATACGATGTATTAATATTTCTCATGCTATAGTATATAGTTATTTTAGTGGATACTATTGTTCCCATGCAGTAAACTGCGAAACGACCGTTTTTTAACTGTCAGTCTGAAACT